GGGCTTAGAAATTAATTTTGAACTAACGGGATGGTGTGATTAACGTTCAGAAAAGTTATGATAATAACGAAGCACACCATAACAGGGGCTAGAAGCTAGGCAGTGCCCAGGTGGTAAGGTAATTTGCCATGGACACAACAGCAAGGGTGGAAATGGGGAATCCATTAAGTACATACAGCTGCTAGAGTACAAGGTGAAGAGTGGTTGTTCATAACTACGACATACTGTGAGCAATTCACTATATTACTTTTTAAACCCTAGCACCATCAGCTAAATCAGACATCAGAACAGCGCACTTTTAGGAAGAAGAAACAATTTGTATTGCAAAAATCTTAGCCATGCTTTAAATAAGCAAAAGTCTGTGTGTCTGTATCAGTGTGGACTCATATTGAGAAATGGGGCACACAATGCAGCTCTGCAACCATCAAGGGAGGCTTTGCAATTAGACATCCTTCTCATTCCATTCTGAATACTTAAGGTATGATTTTCAGAACCCATTTTGACTGCTCTCCCAGCCCTGCGGCAGCTCTCTTCTCTGTTGTTTAAATATGAAATGCTCCTCACAGCCTCATTAGTTCTGTGTTACGGACAATGCCTGGCCTAGTAGTTCCACCTGTGCTGCAGGTATCTTGGAGATATCCCCAAATCATCTGAGTGGGAAAGCAGTGAGATTTAAATTGATTATAAGGAAGAAGGTTTTTCCAATAAATCACTGGCACACGTTGCTCAGAGAGGTGTGGGGGCCCCGTCCCTGCAGACAGCCAAGGTCAGGCTGGATGGTCTCTGAGCACTGATGAAGCTGTGAATGTCCCTGCTCAGTGCAGAGGGGTTGGACCAGATGGCCTTCAAGGGTTCCTTCCAACTCCAACCATTCTATGACTCCACGCTAACCTCTAACACCTGATGGCTGTGCTTAAGCCACACAGTAGTTTACTGACAGTGGGCTCAAGTGTGATAAAAAGGATTTTGTTCCCTTGTCTGCTGTAGGGAATTTCATCTCATGACTTATGTTCTGTGGACCAGGGCTCACTGCTTTGTGGCAGAAGGTTACTAAACCATAGTTTCTTCATTCTGTTTTCCTGCATCTTGCACAGAAGGAGCAGAAAATGCTCAGCCCAGTACATGCCATCACTTGCACCACTGGTATAGGCCACTAAAAAACAAGAAGGTTGTCACATCAAGAATCCATCTGGGTTTCTGTAAGTAATACCTAATTCCGGTCAGATACTTTGGGCAGGATTTAGAGTACATTCCCGCCTTCGACATTTCCTGTGGATACACAGCAGGAAGAAAACACTTTAAAATGTGTAAGAGCGTCCAAGGTGAGCGCTTCCAGAATTAAAACACGATTGTCTGATGAGCACTGATGTCACTGCAATACACTTGTGGAAAGCCAGTTGTAAACACGGAGCGGTTCGGCTGGGAAACCAGCTTCCTGCAGATTAATTGTGACAGTGATGTATGCACTATGTAAATAGACCTAATCAGAGATGCAGGCCGTAGAGCCACGGGGCAGGCAGGAAATGAATGCTGCTGAGAACTTTGCAGACTCACTTTCTTATTTTGACCTTTCAAGAGACGAAATAATAAATTTAGCACAGTGCAGATGAGAACATTTTTCACAGCAGAAGTTGTGCTGAAATGACAGAGGTTCCCAAGCCAGCATCGAGTTTGATTTTTCATCGCAGATGCCTTACAAAATTCTTTGGACACTCCTTTCGCACACGTGCAAAGCATTGTGTTTGTGTTTGTGATGCATATCTACAGCAATGCAATTGTGTTTCCTTCCTTTTAAACAGCAGCAGCAAGAGGTTTTGCAATGTGAACTATGCGTAGATGTAATGGTTCTCTTCCACTGACTCGGAAGTATCTCACATGCCAAATTCCGACATCGTGATGAATCTTTTAGGCACACCAATGAAGACATTCACAGAAGTAGCAAACTGCAAGCTCCTCTACTTGAGGCATACAATGAAGTTCTTTCCCTCTGGTATTGGTTCAAAATAACAATATATCAGATCAGAATGTTATTAAATTGTAGTTCCAATTACAGTTTCCAATAACAGGTAGTCAATAAATATTGATGCGTGGTAAAAGTTGAGGTGTTTCAGAGGAGTCGCAGAATTATTTTTCAAATAGTAATTCATCCAAAACATGTACTTTTCATTTTCCATTCTTTAAATACCATAGCAATAAGGAGAAATGTGGAAGCACGTTTTCACAGCCCTTCAGAGAAGATCTGTGTTGTGCTTACTCTTTACAGGATTGTAAGGACATTGTTGTTTTTTTTTTTCTTGGCATAGAGATGGGTATCACTTCCCTTCAGCAGAAAATAAACCTAACCCCACAGAGAGCATACAGCTGGTGGAAGAAGGTTGAGTAAGAATGATGGCAGAACTTGGTTTTGGAGAAGCCTGGGCAATACTGGAACACAAGCGTGGATGTGAAGGTGGCAAGGTTTACACATGCCAGGCCAGCAATAAAATATGTTTGAAGAAAGATGTCGCTTAGAAAGAAGCACTTCTGGTTGTGCTCTAGCTCCCAGCGCTCAGCTGAGCTCAGTTAGGACTTCACTTGTTTTCAGCTAACATGAAAATCTGAATTATTCAGAGCTCACCTTTACAAAAAAAAAAAATAATTATATATCCAGTGTATAATACAAAGTCTCTATAGCTAATGCTATCAGTCAATATTTCTCTCACAGAGAGCAGTTCTAAGTTCTACCTAACTCAAGCGTGACTTAATCACAAGCTGAGCTGGATCCCTACCAAACCCTGACAGCAGTCTGTGCAGAGACATATCAGCTGAGGAATAGGCCCAAAGAGATCAGTGCTTCCCATCTTGCACTTTGTGATCTAGTCTATTTTGCTGTTTGTGTCAAGTAAAGGTACTTCTGAAAATGCATATTCTATTCAATTATCTGTGAAAGCTTTGTAAATATATTTCAGAGGTCAGAAAAATGGTTGCTAATTAAGACATCAGTTCTCAGCCCGAATTTCTTCAGAGCTTTTTAGGCTGAAGTCATGTCATCAACATCATATTCGGGGTCTGTTTTTTCTGGCTTAAAATAACGTACTCGCTTTTCTAGCTCATCATCTGGCAGTATATAAACCATCCCAGAAGCATTTACAGGGTCATTAATACCGTTGCTATAACAACTGCAGCCTGCAGTGCAAAACAGAGATGCTTATTAGCACCAGCACCATCGCTGACAAAACGCAGGCTGACTTTAATGTCATTTGGCTACTTCAGGGACAGGGTTTAATATTAGCTTTCTTTAAATGGAAAAATTTTTAAAAAAAGAGAAAGATTGATTGTAGTGATTCTGTATTTTCTTTCAAAATGTCCAACTGAATTCTCAGGAGATGCTGCATTTGGACTGATACCACTTTCACACTATGGTACAGTCTTATTTCAAGAAACATCGTTTGCTTTTGGGGGCATGTAAGAGTGGACTGGACAAGGCTTTCAGGCATGCACTGACAGATCAGCACTTAGCATTACAGAGCTGTAAAAGCTGAGAACAAAGATTTCATATGACCATCTCTGTTAAGGAGCAGTAAAATAAAATAATGCGTTCTTTGTTTATTTTTTACTTACTGGTAAAAGGCAGAATATATTATTAAAGAAAGCTATGGTTAAAGAAATCTCAATAGGCAGGATATGATACATAAGCCTACTCTGAAACTGAAAATGTTTAAAACCATAGCCCTTCTTCTCAAAGGTGCTCAGGTTACAAAAAGCAGTTTTGCCCTGAAGATTTTCCATTCAGTCTGATTTTAAAATGTGTGTCACAGAGGTAATATGGAGTACTTTTTATCTGTTCCTTTTTCAAAAAAATAAAAAAATAAAATAAAAAATCAGTATATACATATAGAGAGGGAGACGTTCTATTCCAGGAATTTGGAGTAGCAGCAAAATTTTTTTAAATTCCTTGGACTCTGAGTACTTCCCCTCCTCCTCAGCCCTGCAGCCACAAGGAAGGGGCCATGGTAGGACCTGAACTCAGCAGAATGTCAGTGAGTGCACAGAACTAGCCAACACTGTGGGAAGGGGTTGAGGTCATGCCTTCTCCTCAAGGCCAGGTATCTTATCTGAATTATCAGAGTGAGTCACTGGTGTTAAGAAGAGGAAGACTCAATGAACTGCGGTATCACTTAGCTATAGCAAGGAGACTTTCTTTGGGACCATCATGCCAGTTGCTCTTTTCCAACCTCTTGTTCAACTAACAGTGGTTTCTTTGGTAAATTTATTATTCCTGTGGCATCTCCAACACAAATTCTACTGGAATGAGAAATTTAACCAAGAACGAGCTTGTACATTAAGAGCTAATTTGTGACAATTAGCCTAAGAAATTAGCACATTTAGGTTATGCAAATTGGAGTAAGAAATTTTTGGTTATTCAGTATCAAAATGAGAAGAAATCACTTTGTGTGTGTGTGTATTGAAAGAGTTTTTATCCAGGCTGGGGGACTGTAAGTGAAAATAAAGCCATAGATACAAAAGATAAATGAGAAGCTGTAAGTGGACAAGGTTGAAACTAGAAGTAGGTGTTCAATACTTTTGAAAAATGGTGCAAAATACCAAATTTCTGCTTACAAAAATATTTTATCAACTACTGCGTCATCAGGCTCTTGTAGCCTCAGAAATGCTGAGATTCCAGTTAGCATGTTGTAGGTAGAGCTAACTGTGTTCAGCATATGGCATCTGAGATTGCAGAAGGCAATTTAAGGTCAGCTGGAAGTTCTTCTAGGAGCTTAGGGGTAACGTTATCCATTTTGTACTACAAAGTGATTCTCACTGAAGTTCATTTTAGAGGAGCTATACGTACTTTTTACACGCTTTTGGGAGAAGATGGTGGCATCTCCTAATTATTCCAGGACGTGGAGTGCCACGAGCACAGAACCAGGAGTCGCTCTGCTAAAAGCTGCGTTTGTCCGTAAGAGCAACGGCCATTTTGCAAAGTTGTAATCTCACTTCCTTAAATGACGACTGTAAAAGCAGAACTCTACTTAAAGTCCTGCGTGCCTGCAGCTGCACTGACAGCTAAGGTGGCAAACCTCCTCCTTCCCACAACCTGCTCTGGAAACTGTTCTACAGCCAATTGGGGGAACCCAGCCCGAGAACACGCCTTGCTGAATGCACCGCGAATAGAGATGAAACCGCTGTAAGGAACTTAGAGAAGCGTTCTGTAAAATTGGGACACTTTGTTAGAAGATGGAGAACCCACTTCTTTTGTTCCCTCAACTGAACATTTCTGCTTCGAAGGATAAATCCTATTACAAAGTCATGAAATCAACAGTTAAAGAAGAGCCAAATAAAGCAAGCAAGCCCGGGTAAGTTTTAAGGTCATGCTGACAGTTTGAGTGTTGTTTACTCAGAGGATTCTTCCAACATAGCTCGTGGGTGTGAATTTAGGGCGCAGATCTTTCTCGTTTTGACCAGTGTGTGTGAAAATTGGTGAACTGCAAGCCTGGGAATTGTAGACATGAAATATTCATTCATCAAGGAAATAGTTTTTAGGTACAAAAAACAAATAAATAAACTAAGTAAATAAGAAAGGCAGGCTTCACAAAGCTCTGAAAAATGCTTTTTAAACCCTAAATATGATCTGGAAAATATTCTTTGTATTTTTGCAAGTGTGAGGAAGCACTGCTTCCTTTTTTCTTTGCAGAACATTAAAAGTAGAAGATGCTGAACCAACTGTTTCACGTGCTCTTGAACTGTGCTCATGTTCCTAATATGAAATTTCACCCTTCTCCTTCAAAATTCATGGAAAACGCATTGAAAAAGAAAAGATTCCCACTTCTGTTTGCTAGTGCTTCATATGCAATTCATGTTAATATCTGAAAAAGAAATTCATTAATGTGAATAATATAAACAGGAGAAGTGTTAGAAATACTAGTGTAAGTGAACCTTTGTGGACCTGTGGTGCAGAGGCAGAGACATTAGTCAAAGAAATGCCTGGAAAAAACCTTTTAACAAAGTTGATTTAAAAGCTACTTGAACTCTGTTGTAGAGCAAAGCAGAAGAGAAACAGACTGAGCCTTCTTCTGCAGAAATCGGAATTACACGAAGCTGAACATCTTGGTAAACCGACAGACTTGACAAAAGCATCAAGGTAGGCATTATAAAAGGCAGAGATGATAGGGATTTCTTCTAGGAAGTTTCAGTGTGACCCAGAACATTTCCTGTGTATGCGTGTGTGCATTCAGACTTGGCAGAGAGTAATACTTTCAAAATCTGTTTCATTTAAAGTTGGCTATCTAACTCAAGCATACAAATAGTATAGAATTATCTGGCATAGAACAAAAGAACTCACCAGTAGTGTTTTCACACCACTAAGAGCAGATTATAGCCCACATGTGCATATATATAAAAATCTTTACTCATGCCAACAGTATTTTTCTTAGTCCACTTGTTGTCTCTAGCAAGCATTTACTCAGAAATGGAGGTTAAAAATTACTGTTTAGAAGGAAATCATATAGCTCCTGAGAAAACAGATTTTCCAAAGAATTCTGGATGCATCTCAAATACTGGATATATAGTTCCTTGATAATTGCAGTATTGACAAAACACTGTCTTGTCTCCCAAATTCAAATACTGATGTTTAAACACTGCTGTAATATTGTCCCTATGACACTATTTCCCATAAAGATGTAGAGTGAAATACTATTTTTGTTAAATTCAGTGACGACTTAGTTCTTGACCTCACCAGGACACCAGAATCTCAGAGATACACAAAGAATTACACTGACAGGTCTTGAGTGAAAAGTACTGCAGAAGTACTGCAACTCGAAGGCCTAATAAATTAGTAGCTCCTTTCTGTCCACTGCAGAACACTTCAGATATTCCTATCTCATTTTTAAGTCTTGTTAATGTTGTTCAAGCAATTACTGCTTTAGGGGCCAACATCTACTGCTTTGACCAGAATGCTGTCTCATATGTGTAAATAAATATCGTGGCTATCCAAATGATAGCAGTACTCATGATCTGAAAGACTTTCCTCTCCATACTCCCAGGGGAGGATTTCATTGCTTCCCTCAACCTCTCTTCCCTCCTACTCCCCCCAACTTGTTGTGCTGCTCTGCTTAATTCAGTGGTTCTACAGTTCACTTGAAAGATCTTGAAGCTATGAACAAAGATAAAGGAGTGTTGCAAACAACCTTTTTCAGTTCCTCAGTTCCAGACACATAAAACTGTGCTAAGATTGTACCTAAAAGGAGAAAGCACAGCCTCCATGCCACCTGTAGGCAGACGACACCTTTTCAGTGCTCATTCTTATTTAGGTGGCTGAGTACTGCTGGGTATTTCACACCCAGGTTCTGGTTTCTCTTTGTTACAGCAGCACTCCCTGGAATGGCAATGTCTTAGGGATCTGTGAAGCTGCTTCTTTCTGAAAGAAAATGAAGAAATCACACTAGGAGCTTCCAGCAAAGAACTTCTCCAGCATTCTGTGCACTACTGGACTGTGTATGTGCTCTGAAGCTGCCAGGGTTTATCTTTCACCATTACCAAATTCATTTCTGTGGCTGCAGTAACCCATTATTCCCAGATGTACAAGCACACACAGTTCAGAGAACTGCACTCTTTGTACTTCCCATAATTAAAAACTCTGTGAGGGAGTGAGGTCTCGCTTTCCCTGAATCCAGAATTCCCCTGCTTTATTGGCCTACATTCATTTTTCACATTTCAGTTCTCCATTATTTGTACGCCTTGAGAACTGTTTGTCTCTCCCTAGCTAAGAATTTCATTCCTATAAGCAATGACTTCAGCTAGGAGACACATGACACCTGTAAAAGTATAAAATAAAAATCCTCCTTTTACTTTTTATACAAAACTGAGAGCATTACTGGCTTAAATTCCCTCTCATAGTCATTGGAATTTCCCTTCGTCTAAAATTCATGTGACTACAGATTTTGCCAAGGGAACCCAAGCTATGTAAATCAGGCAGCAGAAAAATGTGAGCCTGGGGCAGGAAAGAGGCATCTTTTCCAAAAGTGTTCAATGCAGAACAAGTTCTTCTGGTTCTCAGCTCCACTATCAACTAACCCTGGACAAGCTGCTTAAATGAGGACATTCCCACTCTCAGAGTACAATGCTATGTCACCAAATGAAAATGGTTCTAAACGTTAATACTCATTCTTCAGACTTAGAACTAAGGCATAGTCCTAGCATGGTAAAGTTAATGCCAGCCTTGTGCCAATTCCTGTGTGTGTATGTATAGGGATAACCGATACAGCACAAAAACAAAGAAATTTTTATTTGGAAGAATATGAATATTTTTTTCCTACCTGTATATTTCTCTAAGACAGAATATTGGAAATAATTGAGAAATACATCTAACTTGGCACAGATGATGAAGAATATGTGGAGTTTTGTGAATTGAGTGCAGCACCTCAGAATAACGTGACATTTAAACATGTCTGTGGTGAACAAACCAGACTGTAAGTGCTTATACCCCAGAAAACTATCAGCTAAACCATACCACTGCAGCTTCGTCTACAGCCTATTGAACTTCCCGTACTTCATCACAAATAGGCTGTGGTAATGCAGCCTCAGAACCACATCTCTACAAGAGTATTTTTACTAACTAACCAGGTGACTGACCTGCTTCCCTTGTGAGTTTTGCCATACTGCATCACCTCTATTTCCTCAAAGATTCCTCACAGAAGCACAACATAAACATTAGAAGAAAAAATCTCTGCTCCGATCTTTTATTTTTTAAAGGTAAAAAAAAAAAAAGGCAACTCTTCAGAAAGAGTCAAAAAAAGTTACACTCTACGTTTCTGAAGTCTGTAATAGAGCTCCTAAGGCAACAGAATCTTATCACTTTGTGAAATGGCCCAGAGCAATAATAGCAATTGATAGCATATCAAAATAACTTGATGAATACACAGCATGCACAGCTCCACATAACCATATTTTGTTTCTTAAGCAGTGTGTCTCCTGAAGAAGCAATGAAATGGGGCAAATCTTTTGACAAACTGCTTTCCCAAAAAGGTTAGTACTCGTTTCTTCTCTTCCTGAAGACTGTGCTGGTGGAAAATTGATGGAAAATTACAAAACGCAGTTGTGCACTTAAATAGATCTGTCAGTTACCTAAATTAGGTACGTTGGGTCATTTATAGCAGCATGTGTTCCTGCTCTGCTCATGTGCTTAGGCTACAGCATGCTGTCATCTACTGAAAGTAGTTGAAAATAACTTCTAAGCTTGGTATTTTATTGGACAAAGTGATAGGAAGTGAAGAGTTTCTGCAGTAACTAGTAAAAGGCAGCCAAAGGTAATTAAGTTGTTCTGTAATGAATAAAATGCTTTTCTGCTGTATGAATTCTAATCAGACTCTTGGAAAAATCCATTATAATAGTGGCATGCTCATCTCAATTATTTAGAACATCATTCACTCACATTAGCAGAAGGCAATCTTATCTTTTCTAGACTACATTTTTTAGTATTGTCAAAAAGAAGAGCTATGTTCAGATGAGCTAACTGCTGTGTTACCACAGAAATCCCAAATGGCAGTCTTAAAAAATGGTTAGAAATCTGCTGGCAGTCTCATCCATCATTTGGCCTCTGCCCAGTATCTCGTTGTTCCTGTCCAGTCTTATTATACAGCTTGTATAATAAAGGCTAATTTTTTTTTGTATTATCATCAGTATTCTTAGTTCATCTTTCATGAAGTGACAGCCTCTTTGTTCTTAAACGTTTTATAGCCATTATTTTTCTATTAGGGATAACTAGCCATGTGTGACATAGAGATAATATTGAAATAAGCTTATAGTAGAGGAGAACTTGAAAGAAAGTGCTTCTCAGTTCTAATCCAAGATAAAATAGCAAATTTTTTATCCAAGAAAAAAAATAGCAAAAAAAGGTCTGAGTTTGCGTGAAAATAATACTGTATCTTTGTATATTGTCTGCAAGTTTCATTCTGAACTTAGTCAACAACTTACTGGCATTGGGACTTTGCTTGAAGACCAGAACTTGAGTGAACTGATCATTTTGGAAACACTGCTCTTAGTGGAATGTATTGATTTTCATATAAAAAGTTTAGCCAAGTCATCCTTTAAATGTTGGTTTAAATGTTGATTGTTACATTGGAGCCAGATTATTTTAGTCTTCTGTTAACTCTGGGAAAATAAGAGATATTTAAATGGACTACAGAAGATCTAAAAAGTTTGGGGATATCAAGTCTCTAGCTTAGGAGCAGCATTTCTGGCCCACATCCTTAGTACTCCCTTTCATACAGATAAATCCATCCAGAGCCACAATCTCAGTGGTTTTAAACTCTTGAGAATCAATGATTGAGTCAGCACTGAATATACAAAGTGTACCAAGGCAACAATCATTTGCTTTACAAATAATAAGAGCTATAGGAGGCAACATTTGGCCAAAGAACTGACTCTTCATGATGGCTATGACTAAGTTTTCTTACATCACTTTCATTTGAATTTTGTTCAAATATTCCTGACTGCAAGACCAAAATCTTAAAAATGAAAACATGTTCAATGGACCTAAGAAATTTGTCAGTTTTGGTGCAGTTTGTTCCTAAATCATAGAATCATAGAATCATAGAATCACCAAGGTTGGAAAAGACCTAAAAGATCACCCAGTCCAACCGTTCACCTATTACCAATAGCTCCTACTAAACCATGTCCCTCAACACAACATCCAGCCTTTCCTTGAACACCCCCAGGCTCGGTGATTCCCCCACCTCCCTGGGCATCCATTCCAGTGCCTGACCACCCTTTCTGAAAAGTAATACTTCCTCATGTCCAGCCTGAATCTCCCCTGCCGTAGCTTGAAGCCATTCCCCCTGGTCCTATCACTAATGACACGAGAGAAGAGGCCGACCCCCAGCTCACTACAACCTCCCTTCAGGAAGTTATAGAGAGCAATGAGGTCTCCCCCGAGCCTCCTCTTCTCCAGGCTGAACATTCCCAGCTCCTTCAGCCTCTCCTCATATGGCCTGTGTTCCAGACCCCTCACCAGCTTTGTTGCCCTCCTTTGAACACGTTCCATGGCCTCAATATCTTTCTTGCAGTGAGGGGCCCAAAAACAGTAATAGGATCCAAGATGGCCATTATGTGAAATGGCCCATTGCTTACATAGGTATCAAATGCACATATGTCATCGTCCTTCCATTCTGGAGGGACACACATATAATCCAGCTGCAGTGGGCAGACATTCTCATTGCATTTGGGTTAACCTAATTCAATCTGATATTTAGCAAATTCCATCACTTCCAGATACATACAGATGATTTGATTGCTTCCATTTATACATTCTTAAGGTCTTGGTAATCAATAATGAGAATTCTGTCATGGGAGTTACAGCATGCACTTATTTTAAAGCCTTTATGCAATTTAAAATAATGATCTGTGATGCAATGTAATTTAAAGGGAGCACAACCCGTTCTGTGACTTTGCTTAGACTGCCTGAAGATATTAACTGTCTGATAAGGAGATATATATATATATATTCATTTAACACAATTCAATATTCCCTTCTGTAGATGGATTGGATGCCTTCACAAGATTTCTGAAAACGGAGTTCAGTGAGGAGAACATTGAGTTCTGGATAGCTTGTGAGGATTACAAGAAGAGTAAAACTACAAACGAACTTTTCCCAAAAGCTAAGACCATTTATGAAACATTCATACGGAAAGATGCTCCAAAAGAGGTACAGTAAAAACATTCTTCAGCGTACACAGTGTTTTCCACAACTGCATCTGATGAAATCTGCTTTTAAGAAGTGTGTGTCCAGAAACAGTAACAACCATTAATTGTGCTGTGACTGACTTAAGGAGACTGTACATGTCTTACATGTCAAAGCTTTGGAAGGAAGCCTGGAAGTAATTGCTTAGTTTATTCATCTCCAGGCTCCTTACAAAACCCACTGCTTATTGCTCTTCTAAGTATACAACTCTGAGTTTGAATATTAGATCACGGGAATCAAAGATTCCTGTTGGTCTACAAAGCCAGGATATATATGCACATATATATATACACACAGTTAATTTAGTGAAAAATAGCAATGATAAATGTTAATGCTGCCATGAAACATATCAGCTAGCATTTTTGAAGAAGTATTATCTGTCTGTAGTCAATGCTGCTTCCAGAACAACAGAATAATTCTCCCATTCTCTTAAACTATTTGTCAAATGATTACAGACCCAGAAGCTTTTGTTTTAAATAAGCCAAAAGACTGAAAGAGGCTAGAAGAATTTACTAAATTAAACATATTCCTTAAATGATAGTGATAATGTTCTAAGCAAAGATTTTTCGTGATTAATGTTCTCCATCCTCTAAGCTCTGGCTGAGCGTTCTTGCTATGTTACTGACAGCACACAGATAAAAACAAGTTGCTATGTCAATACTAATTAACATGAAGGGCTTTTTTTATTACTATAGTAGTGCAAAAAGTCTTAATATTTGCAATTCTTCATTTTTCTGAAATGTGTTATGAAGGAATCATACTGTAAATGAGCAAAAAGAACACTTTATATTTTTTTTTCTTTTTGCCTACTTGGGAAGGAGATGATGAGCTCTTACTGAAATCAAGCTCAGCCTCCTCAGTAGGTATTCTGGACTTACATTTTCCTCTAATTCTGTCAAGGTTGAGCTGAAATATGGCACTTGCCAATTCTCCCTTTCCCTTGTATTTTTTTTTAAACTTGCTAGAAGAGCAGAAGTTAAACTCCAACAGCTACTTCCCTGTAACAAAGGTGAAATAAGTGTAATTCTTATTTTAAGAGAAGGATTACAAAATGGTGCAATCTCCACCCATAATTCTCACAGACTTTATATAACATTCAGATCCACTTTTGACAGGGGCCTGGCTTACTAGTGCCACTTTCAAAACTTACAGTCTTTTTTACTCCTTCTCCTGCAGCATCTCAGTGGGTGGACCTTACTTAAAAAGAAAAACCCATAATTTGGTCTAGTGGTTGGCAGCCATGCTCATGGCAGGGTGTTGGAACTGGATGATCTTTAAGCTCCCTTCCAACCCAAGCCATTCTAAGATTCTCTAATTATTTGAGCCGGAACTTATCATTGCTAAATAATCTGTGAGCAATTATGGTAGGACACTGAGCCCTGATATTGTCATGCCCTGAGAATGACAAACAAAAGGGGGAGCAGGAAGAAAGCTGGGGAGGGGACAGAGCATGGAAGTCATACTTTGACCAAGAGTAACCTAATGATGGAGCCCTGGGCAGCCTGATCTAGTATTGGATATGGTGGCTGGCCGCCCTGCCTGCAGCAGAGGAGTTGGAGCTTGGTGATCCTTGAGGTCTCTTCCAACCCAAGCCATTCTATGACTCTATGATTCTATGATTTCTGTGTGAGATCTTCCCAGGAAGAATGCACCAGTGCATGGAATAAATGATCATTTTGATGTGCTTTCCACATCTCTAAAGCCTCCAGAAACTCACTAAAATTATTTTAATATTTTAATGCTTAGAATTTTCTCACCCTCCTGCCATCAAAACCCCATACAGCATCTAGAAATCTTTAATATACACTACTGCATTCTAAGGAGACAAAGTTCTATGTGTCTCTTAAATGAAAAAGGAAGGAGTTCAGCCTTAGGTTGGTGATGCAAAACTCGGCAGCAGCAACTATTCCAAGATTGCTGATAGTGAGTTACTTTTAATCAGATACTACCACATCAAAATGTGTTGGTTGTATCTTAACTGATATTTTATCAGTTCTTCAGTGTACCAGTGACACATTTATGTAGACTTTCTGGCAGCCATAACTGAAAAGGAATACTCTAATTCTATGGCATTAATCTTGAGTAATATACAGGATTGAAAGTCCTTTTTATCAGAAAACTCTTTCACCAATGTACAATATCTTTGCTACGGACAATGAAAGAATTGTGTTAATGCACGTTAAATAAGTACACTTTTCCTCATTCTCCAGGTGAATTTGGACTTTAAAACCAAAGAAGTTACAAGTCAGAATATTGAGCAGCCCGTCATTACCACCTTTGATGCAGCACAAACCACAGTCTACAGGCTGATGGAGCAAGACAGCTATCCACGCTTCCTAAGATCTGATCTTTATTCGAATTTGGTTAAGGGGAGAAATCCTGGTCGTCCCACTCTTAGGAGACGATCACGGTCCTTCACTGTCAATGATTTCCAGGGTGTGCGACCAGACTATACCATCTGGCAATAGGGAACTCAGCCCTCATGAATTCTAGCCACTGCAAGCAAATTGTACATGTGTTATAAATTACAAATCCTTAGGTGGTGTAAATAAGTGGCAAGCAAAGTTGCATGCATTCATACCAGGTCATAGTTTTGTTGCTAGTGAGTAATCCCATTTACTGTAGACAACCAGGCAACTTATTGCTGAGAGATGTCATGTGAAGCTTTTGTACATTATTTTTTTGTAACTCAAGCAGGAGCTGTTATCATATTAGAAAGAAGAACCTGAGTTTCTGACAAAAATGTTGTCTAAAACGCTATTTGATAACACCCATAATGAATTCTGAGCCTGTATCATAAGACAGTTTTGTCACAGTTTGAATCTGTATAGCTAACCTTTGCACATGATTTTTTTTTTTTTTTGTAGTATTTCCTACACTAAGCATGGAATATTTGTAGTACTTACTCATACTGCAGAACACATGGGAACATTAGGTGAAATGTAAAAATTATATGGATTTTAACTACAGCTACTGCATAATTAAAATTTAGCTATTGCATATTTCAAGAGGATGATAAGAATGCCTATTTAATTTTTATAGGGATATATTATATAGTCTTCTTGTACATCTTTTCTTTATATTTAAACTATGCTGTATAAAATAGCTTTGCTATCAAATTTTTGTATTCTCTCTCTTTTTTTCTTTTTTCTTTCCAACTGAATGAGCAGCAGTCAAGGGCCAAGAATGCCCTTTTAACACAACATGTGTCATTCAACATCTGGTCATGTGGATGCATATGTCTGTCTAGAAGGAAGCATGCTTTTCCCCCATGCTAAGCTAGGTATGAGGCCAGTTAAACAACACAATCAACTGTTGTTCTCAGTATGCAGTTCTGTGTCCTAAAGCTGACTATCCAATACTGCACATAAATGCTCCCTTGTGTGCTCCCCTCCATAAATAGCATCCTCTGAAATCATAGAATGGCCTGGGTTGAAAAGGACCACAATGATCATCTAGTTTCAACCCCCACACTTGTGTGCAGGGTTACCAGCCATTAGACCAGGCTGCCCAGAGTCACATCAGCTCTCAAATGCCATACTTGATAGTTCACTTGAGAGATAACAGTGGGTCTGTTACAACACAGGCGTAAAACCTGTATGTTTGCCACCAGATTCTCAACTGGTGATCATGTTACTTCATACCTTCACGGAATCTAATATTTGCTCTTGCCGTGGACAAAATAAATGTAAAAGAATGCATTTACTACTGCTCCAAAACCCAGAGAAATGACAAATACAGTGCTTTGAGTAAGACATTTCCTTCTTAGCAAAAAACCCAAGCAGTTACTCAAAACTGTCTGCAGTGATAAATAGAAGTCAGCAGGCGCCTTTGTTTCCTTTCACAGGAACATGGAAAATGTTGCTTATCGCCAGGGAGGCCTTCCTCACAACCATCATTCTGTAGTACTGACAGTGCTAGTCCCTTGCATGAGTTTTGTAATTACAACAAACAAATAAGCTATTCTTGGTAGCTACTCATGCATGTATGTTTTTCAGAGATAATTATGAACCATGATTTACAGCAGACTGAGGCCATGGGAACTACTATAAGAAGAAAGTAGAGATAAATTCAGAGAAAGGAAGACAAAGGACACAAAGATAAACAAAAAGGACAGAATTATCTGCTTTCTGGAGGAGATTCCTTTTTGTGGCAGAAAAACAAGTGCTGGAAAGATGAACTAAACAGGTTTAGTACAAGTCCGTGACACTTCTCCATGCTTCAGAGAGACAGGATTGATCAGATTGAAGGCTAGCTCTGCAGGGATGTATTTATAGCATGGACAGTGCCAGAAACCATCGCTGGACTTCTCTAGGTTTGGCAGAATCAAAGCCACAGTTAAATAAATCCTCTTGTTTTGCTGGCTTGATGTGAATAATACATACGAAGCCTGCTGGGTATATATTTTTATTGGGAATTACATTATGTAGCAGCTTTTTGGATTTGTGTGTGTTGTTCAGTATTCAGTAAGAGCTCTCAAAATACCTCTTAACAACACTTTACCCTAAATAAACACTTCACTCTGTTCCTTACATAAGTAAAGTCTCCAGCTCCAATGTATGATGGAAAAAAATCTACAGAATTCTGTAGCACAGATGTTTGTTGCCTTTTTATTTTCTTTTACCTAGCTCTGATTAGATGCATTGAATTAACTGAATTATTATCTGCTGTTGTTAGCTTGAGGGACATCAAAATACACATCTTCACGTCTTTTCTTTGGCTTTTGGGATTTGATATTGTGCAAATGACAACTTAATTAATATTTGTTCTGACAAGAAACAAGAGGACTGAGTTCTAACATAATGAATCTCAAAGGAAAAGAAAGGTTTCCTTCTACCGCAACTGGAGGCAATTGATAATGTGGCTCTTAGAAGCTGTGGTGTATAGAGGCAAGTAAGTGACTCACAAATGGCAGGTTATTTTTTCTCTCCTTTCTTTTTGTCCCCAGCTGCTCAGCTGCCTTAATTAACTTTGAATACAGTTCCCTCTCCCTTCCAAATTATTTTCCATGCATAACGTTGAAAGGCTCCAACTGAAAAAAAAAAAAAAAGCATAAAATCATCTTCTCTTCAGTGCTTTATATGCTCATGCATGAACACCTTGCTCAGATACCTGTGTTAGACCCCCCTCTGTTTTTTTGCATTACAGTCAAAAGTCTCAATCAAATGACCATTTAGCTCCTGTGTGGCTGTATGCCAAAGATATAAACATCAGTCCTCTATCCAACATCCAGCTTGCCTTCATTTCTTCTTTTCTCCTGCTGTCTTGTTGCCATCTTCCTTTTTCTTTCTTTTTTTCTTTTTCTTTTTCTTTTTCTTTTTCTTTTTCTTTTTCTTTTTCTTTTTTTCTTTTTCTTTTTCTTTTTTTTTTTTAACACTGGCCAGTGAGAACTGAGCCGTGAAAGCTGCCTGTTTTTACTTTAAAGCTTTTATCCCTACTTTCCTAAACAACATGTGTTGGCGTAAACATCTCAGATGTCAACTCACAAGAGGAGTTATTATGAATCAGACTTTATCTTTGGCTTCATTAGAAAACTTAGTTAAAATTAAGTAGCGTGAAAAACAACCCTGTGAAAGTCAATACCTTGTTTTCAAGCGGAACAGAAGGTTAAGCTGAAACCGAACGTAACTACAATTCCTAAGCAGCTGTTTCTTCAGTGTGCTATTTTCTTGTATTTTAGAAACTTGCTTCTTCACAATCAAGGACACTGGTGTATTGGTTTTCCCTTTGATCCATTACTCATCCCATCTTGGTTTGGGACACACCGCCAGCAAGGCAATACACAGAAGACAACTGATACAGGGAATTATGGCTCAGGAGCTCTCTATGACATCATGCCTATTTTTTATATATTATTGTGTTGGTACAATTTATATCCATCTCCAAGTGCAAGATTCTGATACTGCCCTTTAAGTTTGCACCATACAGGCTTCTTGTGCAAATAGGAACTTTTGTTAACCTGCTGCTATAAAAATAGTAGTTTGTTCATCCAGGACAAGATCTGGGACAAACAATCTGCTGAGTAGTACTAACTTAAACTCTTCAAGTTTGCATAGTTTTGTTCTGAGAATTGCTTCCAATTCCCCTTTAGTCAACATTTGTGTTTGTTTAGCACTTAGAAATCATGTACATAAGGAGCACAACATGATGAAAAACATTTTGACAGATTGTTCTGGAAATCAAATCTTTCACCTGAAGGGACACATTGCTTGGGTGGAAAATAACAGCTAATTTCTTTATGCAAAATAGCTCTGTGGCATACTGAAGATACACAAAGTTATTCACATGGAAAAAAAATAAATAAATGCGTTTGTAAGCTGTCCACACCGTATTATTGGAAGGTGGAAGATGCGGATTTACATAGTGCTGTGACTAAAATGGATTTGCATCTGCTATGACAGGTGGTTCCATTTCACTAGGATGCCAGCAGTGCCTAGGTCATCTTCCAACTTAAGAAAGGTGGTAAATCTACTTGTATTGCTTGGATCAAGAGAACCTTCATTTTCCTCCTGAGGTTATGCTATATGGAGTAATATCCAACTAGCCTGGCTGTGGAATGGATTCAACGAAGGCCAAGTGCTGAAGGGCATTAAGATATTGAACCTGACAGCAACACTCTAAAACTTTTGTGGGAGAGTGTGACATTTTCTCACATTGCACTAAGGTGAGTACAAGCAACTCTTTTAGGAATATATAAAAAATGCAAGTGATTTCTTAGGTTAATACATCAATAGTGCAAGCTGAAGAGTTGCTAAATACTGGTATCTAGCTCAGGTGTGGTTAAGCAGAACACTAAATGATAAGCTTAATTGCTCCAACCAGCCAATACCTTTTCATAAAGGATGTTGGTCCTTATCAAGCAATAGGGGTGAAGGATGAAATGTGCAACCAACAGCTCCACATTCCCTTTCCTACAGTTCTAGCTCTGTTACCATCCGCCAAAGGCAGTGCACTCGTAAATCCATTGCAGGTCAATAGAGAGCTTGTTTGTTTGATGTAGTGTATTATGAATAACCAAAACATTTGCACAAGTAGCTGATGGATGTGTTGTAATACCGAGACGGTTTTTCTCCTTATGAAATTTCTGTAAAATATTGGTCTTGTCTGGCACTATTTTATAGTTCACGGTATATATTCTGTGGAAATTAGACCAAATAACTAATGGCAGAGAATAAAGATGGTAGTTCTTATTTCTGTCATTCTATTATAACTTTTAGAAGCAAGTGGATTCAAAGATAAGAAATCTGCAGGAAAAAAACCCAATAGCTTCATTTTGCTGCCAGAAATCTTGCTCAGTATTAAGAAATTAGGGCTCGAAGGGGTACCTTGGGTCGTTGTTCCTAGTTTCCTATTATCAAAGGCGACAATGTAAAATAATCTCTTTCATGAATGTATCAGACTCTATATTTGAAGTACAGAGACGTAGAGAGGACAAAAACCCCACTGGGGAAAATTATCAATGGTACTTTCTGAAGCCTTCTGTTTTTCCAATGAAACTTTTTTACTGTTTATATCCATTTGTTCTTTTACCAACATTCATCTTATTCTTAAGCTTATATATATATATATATATATATATATATACACATATATTTCTCTATTAAAGGAGAATAAAGTAAGCTGGGTAAGGGCAGTAAAGGATTAGGCTGCACCACAAGGAGAGAGGCCTGAAAGTAAAAGCCTCCTGGTTCAGGAGAGCAAGGGAGCAAGGAATATACCGAGAAAGAAAAGTGTTGAGAAGAAAAGAATAAAGAAAGATATCACAGCAAAAGGAAAAATTATATGAGGATGTTTCTGGGACGGAGTGATGCTCTTCGAAGAGATCACACCGAATGAAGTATCAGTAAGAGCAGAAGAAACTGCTGCTTTACAGTTTTCAGATACCACACGACCCCATTGTTTGTAGCAGCATCAGTGTAAGAAGACTTGTTTGAATAAATGAGAGACAAACACTTCAAGGGCTTAGACCTTCGAGATGTATAAGGTAATGGATAAGTCGCAGGTGCGCTTAGAGCAGATACAATAGTAAGAGCAAAGAAATACAATGAAGACTTTTCTAGCTAGGTGCACTGAACCTATTTTGCATCCTGCTGTTCCACAGTCAGTAAGATGATTTCTCTAATAAGATGTTGTTCAGAGCATAACTGTAAGATAGCATGGCCACTGCTGAAAAATAAGCCATAGTTCTGAAAGAGAAAATTGTAAAGGAGGTGTTAAAAGCAGTCTGTCAGCTTGCACTGTACTTTGTGGGGATGCACGTGCTAATTGTATTGTTCCTGCTATCATATCACCTTCAGCTTGAAGATCAGTCAGGAAAAGAAATTCTGCCCTACCCGTGACAGTCAGACAGTGGAACAAAAAATGCCAGTGAAGTGAGTTGTTTTTTATGGCTATTTTAATCTTAGGCTCTTTATGAGATGGTCAACTTTTAAATGATCTGGACACTTTTTGTTTTCCTTCCCCCTTACACTCTACAATGATGATTTTGGTTCCTTGTTGTCACTTCTGCTTGCCATTCCCATCCAAATCCAATGAAATCAGTGAAATCATTCTCTGACTAATAAATGTTAAATCAAATAGTATTACTGATGAGGAAAAGAAGCAGAATTATGTTTATATTGTCTTATCTTTGCTTTTTGTTCTGCTGAAGCGCCCAAAATTTGTTATATTTAATTAGAGTTTATTACTGTCACTGAAAGAAATTCTCTGCTGATTAACTGCATTAGCACACAACAACTCACAGAGCACTGCATGATGCTATGTTTAGCTTTCATTTCTGTTTTTCAATCCAGACTGAATGTATTTGCTCTCCAGTTTCCCTCCTGTATGCATGCATACATATTTATAAATACATATATCATTTTCTTCTACTTATTTAAATATCATTTTGTGCGGTTGGATAGAAGTAAACCAACAGCTCCAAAAGCACTTGCTTTTAAAAATGTCAGTGCAGAAACCAACTGTAATAATTATAAATATAACTGCAGTTACAGTGCATGGTAGCACCATAATAGGATCATACAATCACAGAATAGTTCGAGTTGAAGAGGACCCTTAAAGTCCATCTGGTCTCACTCCCTGCAGTGAGCAGGGACACCCACAGCTCCATCAGTGCTCAGAGCCTGACCTTGGCTATCTGCAGGGATGGGGCACCCACACCTCTCTGGGCAGCCTGTGCCATGCCTCACTGCCCTTAGTGTAAAAAAGCATTTTTCTTACTTATAATCACATAAGCTCTTGACAAATATACATAGAAAATAGCACTAGTGGTACATGGGATCCTTTTCCACTCTGTTGTTCACATATCCCAGCTTCTCACCCATCATGACCACAGACACTGCCAATGGCTTGTGATGCTCTGCCAGCCCAACAATGCCCTCCATTACCTCTGGTTCTTCCTGCCTGCCCTTACACACAGAATGCTCAGCCTCCACAACAATTAATTTGTGAGGTTTCTTGAGGAACAGAGGCTAGTCAGAAAATATGATTTAGGTGTCTGTAAGAAATTCCATGATTTGTTTTGACTGCACTGAAACAAAACACTTCCAAACTGTTCAGTTCCTCCTTACTACCAAATGAGAGGGAAAAGGCATACAAATATTTCCAGAGCTGCCAGAAAGTCAAGTGATGATTACATTCACCTGGAATGTAAATTCAGTTTCAAATCCCCATGCCATCGTAAACTGTGTAAGATAAATAATCACAGGGTGGGAAACATGGTTTCCTGTCAAGGTCTTTGTATAAAATATAACAGTTTCAATACAAGCAACATGAGGCAGGGATCTGTTGGATACCTTTCCAGGTATTGTAGTGTTCATATCCTCTTTTCACTGTATAGAAAAACTGCATCTAAAATTTGGAGGGGAGGGAGTAATCAATGACTTACTCACTTAGTCTGCTCTGGCCTTGCCCTTTGAACTATTTGTTTTATTTCGAGTTCTTTGTTCAGTGCAAAATGTCAGCAAAACCTATTCTTCATTCCCACTGAACTTTTTAAAAAATTGTATTTTAAATGTGCATGAATTTCACTAGAATTCAAAGGATGTTTGAAAAAACCTACTCAGTCTATTTGGAGTAGATTACAGGATATTGGCTTAAGTAAATCCTTTATCTTTCACTACATGTCCTTAGAATCATAGAATCACCAAGGTTGGAAAAGACCTAAAAGATCATCCAGTCCAACTGTTCACCTATTCCCAATAGCTCCCACCAAACCATGTCCCTCAACACAACATCCAGCCTTTCCTTGAACTCCCCCAGGCTCGGTGACTCCACCACCTCCCTGGGCAGTCCATTCCACTGCCTGACCACTCTTTCTGAAAAGTAAGACTTCCTCATGTCCAGCCTGAATCTCCCCTGCCGTAGCTTGAAGCCATTCCCCCTGGTCCTATCACTAATGACACGAGAGAAGAGGCTGACCCCCAGCTCACTACAACCTCCCTTCAGGAAGTTATAGAGAGCAATGAGGTCTCCCCTGAGCCTCCTCTTCTCCAGGCTGAACATTCCCAGCTCCTTCAGCCTCCCCTCATATGGCCTGTGTTCCAGACCCCTCACCAGCTTTGTTGCCCTCCTTTGAACACGTTCCAGGGCCTAGAGGTAACATGAAAAACTGATTGACTCTTGAAATGACCTGCCTGCAAGATTTGCTAGAGGATATCTTTCAGATTTTATGTATTTTTTTAGTTTTTCCTCAACAAAAAATTATTTCAAAAAAATTTCCAGTTGCATACTATTGAACTGAGGTTTAGTGAAGAAATGTACTCCTTAACAAATAGGATATGACCAATGTCACCAATCTGAGACAAGAATATGACCAAAGTCAGATTTATTCTTCCTTATTGCTAAATGGTGGTTACGAGACTAACGTTCATTTGGAGATGCCTGATATTGAGAAAACTAAATAGGAAAATAGCATAGGAAAGCAGGTAGGCACACAGTGATTCCATCAGAAGTTGTGTGCTAAGAGGCACATCTCTGCACAGTGCTTCATTTTTATGAAACTGTTTTCTTCCAAACAAAAACTGTAAGCAGTAACAATAATACTGGTCAAGGGAGCTTTTTTCTCTGCTGGAGGTTTAAATTAAAAGCTCTTAAAGTGTTAATTTCAATCAAAGCCAAGTTTAATAGAACTGAAAGCTTTTACTTTGACCCTTATTTACATGTATTCAAACTTCTATATTGTTGAGAAATTGCAGAAAAAAGCCCATAACGTTACCAGTGTTAGCATGATAACTGTGTAGATAATTCTACTCATTCCAAGAAGTAAGTGTCATATTGATGGTTGATACATTTGAACTTGAGAAGGAATTCAGTACTCTAGAACGTTAATATCCCTCATATGTTTTTACTGTAGTTCAATCAATTGCAAACATTATTAATGTTGTTTCATGGATGAATTTTCCAGTGTCAAATAACATTCTGTTTTATGAGACTGGGTCCTCTATGCCCCCACCCCAAAAAGTGCTCCTTCTGTGGGATATCCAAATGATAGAGTAGCTACCATGGCCTGCACAGGCAAAAGATCATGATGCTATTTTCAAGGATAGATGTTGTTTCCATAGGTCAAACACAGAAGAAACACTGGCTTGGTCTGACTCTGTGGATACACTACTTGCTAATAAAGGTAAGAGTAGATGAAAAGTGTTAAAAATAACAAAACCATGTCAAATCAACTCACAGACATTGCCATCAGGTTTGCACACTGCTGTCTGCCCACCTAACCATGTACTCTGAGCCACAGTACTGCTGGTGGCATGTAAGCCTTGTTCGACTTGAAACTCATTACCTGAAAAGCAGCATAGAAGCTATCTAGCCAGGCTCTCAACCCTGAGAGCAGCACACTGCCACAGCACAAATTAATGCTCAGCACGCTGCTTAGAGTGGGGTCAGCCTCACATCCCTGATTGTCTAGTTGCTCCAAATCCTCTTATAGACCACCATGATCCTGATTTCTTTTTGAATAAGAAGCATTGGAGAGACTGGCTCACACAAAGCAGGTTTTGGGATCCTTCCTCTGTGAATAACTGGCAGAACTCCCTTCATCACCTTACCACTGCTGTTGTGTCATGCCCTTATTTTCCCCAAAACAGCCTCCTGGGGCTAGCTGCTGGCTGGTGGGCAAAACAATTTCAGAAACATAAGTGACAATATATATCCTGCAAATAAATGCACACATTATAGAATCTATATTGATTTTTCAGCTTCCTTCTACCCCTCAGTCTCATGCATTTTTCTCCAGATGGCCTGGCAGCTTTCAGGAAGTTTTTGAAGTCAGAATTCAGCGAGGAGAATGTAGAGTTCTGGCTGGCTTGTGAAGATTTCAAAAAAACCAAGTCTTCCACCAAGATCGCAGCCAAAGCCCAAAAGATTTACGCTGACTTCATTGAAGCTGATGCTCCAAAGGAGGTAAAGATTTTTTTGCATGTACTTTGGGTACCGACTGAGGATGGGAATCAAGTGGAAAGTTCAAATCCAAAACTCCTACAATGACGGAAAACTCATTTCAACTTGGCTGCCCTTCCCCGTTATGTCAGCGATTTACCTGGTGGAGAACTTTGTGTGAAACAGCCTGATTTGCTCTAATCCCTAATTTGCCCTTTGGTGATCTGTACTTCATAGGATTTGGTCTGGCAGAAAGATGAAATAATCAAAACCCAGTTTTGTTCTTATCACCACCTCAATCTAGTTCCACAGCCCCAGCGATGCCAATTGTCTAAGAACCAAATAAATGGTATTAAAAAAATGGTATGCTAGAAAAAGAAGGGATGACCTCCCTGCCAATTGGCATCAGCCTGGGTATGTGGGAGGAAATTCAGAAGCTGATTGTGTCCTGTACACAAACAGACCTCAGCATTCCAATCAAACTGACACTGATTTTGTTCCTCCTTCCTTCCCACAGATTAATATTGACTTTCATACAAGAAATCACATCTCTCAGAACATCTCAGAACCCACCCTCAGTTGTTTTGATGATGCCCAGAGGTTAATCTATAGTCTCATGGCAAAAGACTCTTTTCCCAGGTTTCTAAGGTCAAAAGAGTATAAGGAACTAGCAAAGAAGCAAGACAACAGAAATGACAAAAGGTGGCTCCCATTTTTGTGAGAAGGTAAAAGCTAAAGGCCTGAGTAGTTATGAATTTGTAGGTGCCTCCTGTTACAACTCAGGGTAGGTAATATTTTATTAAAGTGATTGTACAAAACAGAACTCTTAACTGGCTTGTTTTTAATGTATGTGTGGTTGCTTCTGCTAAAGTTGGTGGAGAAGTATTCTAGAAACAGAATGGAATATACTATGACAGTTGAGTTTTTTTAGTAAAAATCTTGCAATTAATATTTTTTTCCAGTAGTTTCTTCATTTGTTGCAGTGATTTTGCATTTTATAAGTGAAATGTTCTGTGGTCTACCATCAGTTTTTTGATAGAAGTATGGACTCAATAAATTCCTTTCATGGGACTTGAATACACTTATTCCCTTTCATCTACTTATTTGTAAAGAAAAAAAAAATTAAAAACCTCTTTTGAACATGTTCTACACCACTTAAAATAGAAGAAGAAACGTGGTAGATGCCATACTGTGAATGACAATGAATTAAGGACATCACTTAATAAAAAGCTGTTTTCTAACAAATGTTCCTAGCATTCAGAGCAAAGGGATGTTTCATAATACATGCTCTTTAACACAACTCTCTTCATTTTCCTTTGTATTTATCTCACTTAGTTCTTTTCACTAAAACATCTCACTTGTTAACTGACTATTTGGGAGAAAAAAAACAGAGCAATCTTCTCTTCATACATTTTCTAGTAATGATTAATTTAGTTTTCTTCTGTAAATGCACAAGTTGTAATGTATGCTTACACTCATGACGAAGTAATGTTAATAATGACTCCTTTTTTTTCCTAATTAAATACCGAACCATAGAATCATAGAATCATTGCAGTTAGAAAAGACCTCTAAGATCATCCAGTCCAACCATCCACCTACCACCAACACTGCCCACTGACCACGTCCCTTAGTGCCACATCTCCATGATTCTTGAACACCTCCAGGGACAGTGACTCCATCAGCTCCCTGGGCAGCCTGTTTTGATGCCTCACTGCTCTTTTGGAGAAGTTTCTGCTAGTACCCAGCCTAAAAAGCACTGAACAGTTTTAGTGGAGTAACCATACTAATTAGAATTTGTCATCGTGTCACAAGAAATGAGAGGATTTTTGGGTGTCTCCAGTTGCACACTGTGATCTTCTTCATTGCTCCTCAAAGATTTATAGCGTATTTTTAGCTGCAGAATGAGCTGTAATATATTCCTGAAGAAAAATATATTCTAACCCACATGGAGAAGGAGGAATAGTCACAATCAAAAATAATTCTAAATACAAGAGGTAACAATAAGATTAATCAAGCAAAAAAAAAACCCTAGTAACTTTCATTTTATATGAACTCGATCCTTTTGCTGTTCTCCGATACCCATAGCCTGTTCTATCACCTACTTTTTCTTCTGGCTTTCTGCATTTCTTTTTCATTTCTTTCTTCCTCAGCACTAGCGGTTAGCAGAGAAATGAACATGAGAGGCGAGGCTGAGCTACAAGGAGGATGTGGTTTTGTTCGGCAGTCCCGCAGCTACCATTCATTTTGCAATGAAACTTCAGTGGAAAATCGCAACTTCCGCCTGGGCGCCGTCTCGGAATCCTTTCAGCACTGGGGAATTTCTGCTGATTGAAGTCACGGTGAGGACAGCAATCAGGACTGCTGAAATTACATAATTTACTCAAATATATAGCAAGCCATTTTTCCCTCTTACAAATCCAAGTCTCGTTTTCAGAAGAGGTGAGGTCAAGTCGCCTTTCTCAGTGGGCCAAGAAGGAAGCCCAAAAAATCTGCTGCACCAATGGTTGTGATCTAAGGAAAAGAGTGCCTTGAAATAGCCTGTTCTAGTGTTAGATATGGAGGTTGGCAGCCCCGCCTGAGGAAGGGGTTTTGGAGCTTGATGATCCTTGAGGTCCCTTCCAACCCAAGCCATCCTATGATTCAATGATTCTATGTGTGATAATGAAATCACAGATGCCTGACAGTGCTCTTTTTCGAATTCCACATTCCTGACTTTATCACAAAGAAAACCAGAGAGCAGTAGAGCAGGAGGCTGTCAGGGATCTCTAATTCCTGGCCGAAAACATAAAAAAAAGTCCATCTTCATAAAAATAATCCCTTATACTTTTTCTGGTAACTCTATAAAGAAATAGTGGGAAACCCCCAGTGGAAACACATACGTCTGCACAGACGAACATAGACTATATCCAGAGAGGTGGGTATCTGACTAATTCTCTGATCACCAGTCTAATTATCATTAGAAAAAATAAACCGTTCTTAGCATATTATTTTAATAATTCTGTAATAAAGTATCATGGAGGATTTTAATGCTATTTCAGTTAATTTAGGATGCTTAAACAGAAATGTACAGTAATTACACTTTTAGGGGTTATCAACAACTCAAGTATAATAGAGCATACTAAGTTTGCCATAATCTTCGAATTAAAACTACATCAACAAAGTAAATTAAAAAAATTGTTGAGCAGACCTTTCAAATCTTTATAAATTAATCTTTTTTTTCTCCTGTTTAAATCTGAGAAAGCACTTGGCATGATTGCTTTAAATACATATACATGATCACTTGAAATTTGTATATGATAATTTGATGTGCATTCACAATTTTTCGAATAATTAAAGCATCTTACTACATACAGCAGTGTTTTGGAGTTGAGCAGTTGGATTTTTGAATAGTTACACAGTACAAAATATGCATTATTAAAGATCCATTTCACAAAGCATCTGAAAATGTCTAGATGTGAAAGATGTGACCCAGTCATCTTTATTCTTGTTCATTCCCTACGTCTATGACTTTCACATTTAAAGAAGTCATAATCAAGCATCCCAAACCCGGTAATTTGACAGAGGAAAAAGCCAGCTACTGAAGTACAATTTCGAAGACTGAACTTTGCTCAAATCTCACAGATTTACCAAGAATTTCCAAGAGTGATCTTGGCCTGTTTCTATAACCTGCTGTGCACAAGTGTGAAATGGAGAGGTTACCTCCATCTTCCACCTACATGTAGGACAGGGGTGCCCATTAATATTTAAGGAGCGTGTCAGCACTACAGGAAGGCATTACAGATGTTCAGGCTTCTGGGTGATCTTTTTGACCAAAGCCTCTTACTATCAGGCAGAGAAACATCTTCATTGCCAAAGACATTTTTTTTCTTATGCTTTTTCCATAAGGACATAAAGTACTGTTGTACCTAAATAGAAAGCACTTGCAGAGAGTTCTATTAGAAAGAACATTTGCACTGCAAGTGTCTTGCTTGCTTTCACTGAAGTATAGTGATAGTTCCTTTTTTCAATCACGCAAAAAGCTCAGTTCTGAGAATTGTTGTGCTTTAAAGGACTCAATCTCTTTTAGAGCACAAGTGGATTTACCAAAAAAAAAAAAAAAAAAAAAAGCTACTAAATATAAATGGTAGGAATAAACTCCAAGTGGAATTTATTTCTTAATAACATCATGTTACTGGAAAAAAAAACCAACAACCCAAATCAACAAACACAACAAAAACTGAATTCCCACACACAGTGACACTTCTAAATCTCCCACAGCACATAGGAACTTGGATTCTGTCAGATCCATCACGTGCACATCACGGCTAGACTGCCCCAGAATTACAATTAGAGGCGCAGTAATAACAGACGTAAAAGAAATGAATAAAAACATATTAAAAAAAAATATGGAGGTTATTCTGAAAGCAATGTCTCCACATCTGTAGCAATCTGTACCAGTAGAGGTGACCCACTGTCACCACTGCTGAAATGCACCACCCACCCCTCACTGAGATCACATCCACTCTTTGGTCCCTACAAACATTCAGTAAGAGTTGATGAATTCCAATGGGTGCCATTTTTTCTGCATGGAGAAATTCAATGACACCTCTGCAAATGTTGGAACTGAACACTCAGCATTTTCTGTTTTGTCAGGAAATTCCTTGCTTGAGCTACAGTGCACAAAATGACTTGAACACTGATACACTGAATCACAGGACTGGCACAAGAACCTCCCCAGACTCATTTCAGTCTTGATCCAAACATGAAGTTTGAACAAAAAGCTCAAAAGAGAGAATCTCTCCAGCATTCTCTGCTGCTTAAATGAGATGAGCATCACATTAGGATGACCTGAGAGCAGTTTTGCACCATTAACCTCATGTAACACCTTCACTCCTGAATGACAGGAGCCCTTTGTGTTATGTGTGGGACTTAGAAGCACGTTATGGGCCTGAAGAATGGAATGCATTTTCTGCCTTTTGGTGCACTAAAAGCCAAGGGTGGAAAAGCCATGAAAAGAAGAATTTCCCACGTTGGTTAAAGATCTCAGTTTGCTTGAGAGCCTCAGTTTTCTTACCTGCTTAACAAAAATAAGAACCTCATTCATATTTACCTTCAAATAGAGCGTGATGTTCTGTCCTTATGGTACTTAGGAACCGTAATTGTTCGATACTGTAATTATGAAGTAAAATCACTCCATCTGAAACATTCATTTAGTGACAGACAGAAACGTGGCACTAAAAATATCCCTAAAAGCTTTACTTTAAATGTTCCTAAGCTGTTCATTTGGAAAGAAAATACCTCCTAGAAGTTTCTTTTTTCATTTTCTCCAGTTCTTCAACCTCTGTAGTTTGATCTCAGAAATTGGACTCAATGTATTCCTAGATGTTTCAAAGGAAGCCCTGCATGCTCTGATCTTTTATTGAGAAAAAGGAGACAATTATAGAGTAAATAATTCTCTTATATTATTATTTTGTTGCCATGGGTTCCGACTGCCATGATAACATTTCTCTATCTTAGATGGGACATTGCCTTGTTTAGTTTTTTGTACTGCATTTATATTTGCATATAAAGTGACTACAGCTGGATTTGTCTCCCCATTTACACCAGTTTGCATTTAGGTTTGCATGCGAAGCTATATTTTGGTCTATGTATATGTTCCTATCTACACATAACCACCCTGGAAAGACAAACAAAACCTTGTACTCAATAAAACTCTAGGGAAACAATTTTTTTTTTTCTTTCTAATACAGTGGTTATAGCTTGAAGACTCACAAAGGAGAAAGAAAAAACTTCTTAATTTCTATTTCTTGAAAAGCTTCACGTGATTACATTGCCTTTAGAATGTCACATTTTAGCACAGAGAAGAGCATAGGAAGAGAAATCATGAACTGCATGATGTAGTATTCTGAATAAAGTATCATCTGTTTTCATTTGTTTTGACACCAACATTGCCATGCCTGCACAGTCCAGAGATACAGAAAGGAGAAACTGCCCAACTCAGTTTCCCACACTTGTCAATAATCCCTAGGCTGAAGCTTCTTTGGTGAGTTGCCCTGTACACACCTTTCAATTTTGCACCAAATTAGTGTGAAAAAAATTAAAGCATTACATAAAATGTGTTATCTTTTTCTCCCTCTGAAATACAGAACTGGACTACATTAACTACAGGCAATAGTCTCTAATCTACCAGCACATGTAAATAATGTTATTTAGTAGTTCTTCTAACCTGGATATAGATACTTCTGTGATAATCTGAAGCAAATAGACTGCATGAATAGCACAACTGACATTTGCTTCTGAACAGATAAAGGATAAAGAATCTAAAAAAGTATATGGTGAAAGAAAATCTCAGTCTCAAAAATACATGCAGTTAGCAGGATGAGCTCCTTTGACAGGCTTCTTATTTCAAACACCAGAAACACTTCTCACTAGAGAAGGTGCATAGGCAAATTCAGGCTGAATGGGCTGACACCAGAAGAGCTGAAATGCACACTGCAGTGAAACAATGGTACATAAGTTGGAGGATGCCAGATAAAATGCCATTAGCAAGCTCTAAGACCAGTGCTTGCATTGCTGGCACTTGTTCCTGAGTTCTACATTTGGCCTTCCTGCCTTGGCTCATCAGTACAAAAACTCTTTGGCACTTGTCTTGAAGCACTATCAGCAAACATGCAAAATTAAGCACCTAAAATTCCTTGAATTCAATTCTAGAACAAATGGTCTGGATTTTGACCTAAATTCAGTCATTTCAACCGGACTTAACATTGCAGTTATGAAAGGTCCTTGTATCTATTGAATTTCTTTCTAGAGCTTTGTCGTTTAGTAGAATAAAATGAAAAAACTCACCTTGCCAAATGGCATAGAAGAGGTTCTGTGACATGATATATTTATCTTTTCATGTCAAACAAAAAGTGCAGCGTATTCTAGTCTAGACAGACACCTTTTACAGTCACAAATGGTTTTCACTATTCCATATGGTTGATAGTTAATCAATAGTACTATTGGAAGTACTATCAGGAAGTACTAGAAGTTCCACATTCTGCCACAGGAATTATGAGAATGAACTGTACTTGTGTCACACTTCGTGCTTTCTGATTTGTGCCTTTTTTCTGTCATTCTCATACTACAGCTTATGTTGATCTCTCTGCACTGACGAAATACATTCTGCAGTGATGCTGAATTCTTTGTCAGGAATATATCTAGTTGTTTTTTTTTTATTAGGACTAAAACATTACCTAACCATGTATAGCAAGGTAATGTATATATACGGGAGTTGGAAGAATGGTAAAGGTGGACATAGGAGGAGGACTCCAGTAGGAATTTTTGGTATCTGTGAATTTAATAATTACAAAAACAGAAACAGTCACTGTATCTCACACTACAGTATTTTAGTAATAATTTCCGATATCCTTTTTGTGTTACTATTTATTTTTGTAATAATTATTCATTAAAATTTTCCTGGGAAATTATTCTTTCTCTGTCAGCCCACGTGAAAAAAGAGAAATGACAAAACGAAACAAAATTCACTCAAGATGTTTAAGTTCTTTGATCTCACAGTGTGAGGGAAATTCATATGCAAATGTAATCCAGGGGCCTTAAGGAGGTGGGTAGTAAAATGCAATTGCATGGAAACTGCATAAAGCAGAATGAAGACAAAAATTATAATAAGACAGCTTCATAAATGTGAATTAACATATTGAAGGGAAAAGAGCTTAAAATACAGTTGACTGGACAGATGTGAGCTATCAGTACTGTTGGAGAACATTTCGCACCTTGGTGTAAGAGCTTGTTTATTCAACTGGATATTTTTCAAGAGGAACAGGTTGCCCAAGGAGGTTGTGGATGCCCTGTCCCTGGATGCATTCAAGGCCAGGCTGGATGTGGCTCTGGGCAGTCTGGTTCTCACTACTAAATAGTTCTTTCAGTGTCTGCAATTCACTCCAGCTGACACTGCTGCTACCTCTACAACAGTCACTGCACACAGAGTGGGCGTTCAGATCTCATATTGCAGAACTGTGCTGGCTTCCTGCTCCATTAACTCCTAAATATCCCACAATTTTCAGGTAAATGCCTTTAAAAGGACCAGGACCAACTGTCCTCCCAACTGCTCCTGCCTTTGTAGGGGTAAATCAACGTTCTGTGAAGAGTGCTATCTTCAAATAAGGGCATTATCTTAAAAGAATGGCTTGGCTCGTGTATCCGCATCTATTTTACATTACACTAACATTAAGACAAATTTGCTTTTGGTATGGTCTCTTCGACATCTACAAAATCCTATGGTACCACCTAGTGGCAGCTCTTCAGACAGCACTAAGACTGTGGGTATTCCTGGAACAGAAATAACTGACATTTGTTTTGATGAGAGACTTGAACTACCCGCACACGGAGAGAAAGTAATGTGCTTCATGGACTTGTAGTCATAGAACATTTGAGATAAACGTTAAGTGTGTTTCCATGGAAGCTGAACACCAGTATTCCAACACTTCAGAAAATCACTTTATGTACACACTAAGTCTCTGTTGAACTTTCTTGGTCTGCAGTTGCTCATGTACACAAATATTAGCTAACCTAGGGAGCAACAAGACACTGAAACAAGGTTAGCTAAGCTGAGCGGAGACATCAGACTCGAGCATCCAGCTTAGGAGACCTGGCTGGGTTAGTCCTTACTAATGAGCCCTCCTGTACACTTCTGGATCTTTCAGAGACTGGTACTTAAACATCAGCACTGCTTCAAGCACCATTTAGCCTACTCCTCTCACAGCTACCTTCATCCTTTTCTCCACATCACTGCAGAAAATAAAGATTATGTTTAAATTCTGGGCTTTGTTGTGGGTCCATCTTAGGGCATTGAAATTTAGGTACAACCCTCTTATAGCCTCGACTGATTTGCAAACACAGAGCAGGAGCTAGAACTTGTTTGAAAATGGGAGTTAACAGGCTGCTTAGTGTGTGTGCAGGGAAGCTCTGGATGTCTTCACATTAATGTGGCTTTGGAGCTGCTTGCCACATTCCAGTTCAAACTCACTCCTGCTCCTGTTTTGTTCACCAACAGCATCAATTTTGGTGCAAAAAGAACATTAAAAGCTGGTACAGAAACTATGCACAAATAAACCAATTTAAAGCAAGAACTTTGGGCTCTCCAACATCTTCGCCTCTGCTAATATCCCACTTTCTAGCCTCCAACTGAATCACAAAGGGAGAATCACTGGGATTGTATTTATTAAGTCTGGCAATGAAATAGGAAGATTCCAATAGATGATGCGTTTGGCTCAAGCTGAAGGCAGAATAGTAAAATGTAAGGTGATTAAAACATTAAACAAAGGCTCTGACAGCATCTCAAGACCACCCTTTGTTTAGCAGTCTTCCCTTTGCACCTCCTGATCTCTCCAACCAAAACCCTGCACTGCCTCTCTACCTCCGACTCGGTTTAAAAAATAAAATGAAATAAAGATGACCCATGGTGTGATTAGAGGAATAAAAACTCTTGCCAAAATAGCCAGATGGACATTTTACCATCTCCTTTGGTTTTGAGAGCCAGCCTTTAAATATCCATTCAGTTTTGGTACTGGCGGGTGTCACAGCCTGTTACTGAGGTGAAACATTTTCCACTCAGGAGGCTCTTATGTACCTGAGACGTTTGTTTTCCAGCCTTTCTCACACATACTCTATAAGGCAATGTTGACTGCAAGCTGTCAAATAATCTTCGCAAATATCTATCATTTATGGTAACTAAATGCCCGTGCCTTGATGCTATTTTAAATAGTTGTAACTCATGACAAGAGGAGAAGCAGAAAGAGGAGATATATTGAGCTAATTAAAGGAAGGTTTCTTAAACAGTTTCTTTAACCTTAGCCCGTTACGCTCCTGTTAATCATTTTCTGCTGTATACTTGTGATATACTGCGTCACATGCCAACTCCTCAAGAAGGTCAGCCAATGCAGAATGCCCTTAAACACATGCTCATCTAGCAGCTGGAGGGCAGAAAGAGGAGTGGAAGAGAGGGAACATGACAAAAAACATGAGGAGAACAATGTGTAACAGAGATCTAGATTTCTTCAGAAACAATCTTAGAAATCAGTTTTGATATTGGCAAGAAGATGGGTGAAAATTGTCTTTCCTTCATTCACACCCTCCCTAGGATCAGTGGAATGATACTATTGCAAAGTTGTGTGCAGAAACTTCTATAAAGGCTGAAACCATGAGGGCTCAGTGGGAGTCAACAGACTGCTACAGCCCTTGCACATTTCATTATGTGCTTTTTAAGCTCAACACAGGCTGAATAATCCCCAGCAGAGGCACTGAACAGGGAAGCTACGCATTGCCATGCACTGCCCAGACACAAAATGGAGCACAGGAAGTCAACCATGAGAGAAAGCTAGCTGAGTACATTTTCTCTCTCTTTGAGAGAGCCCATGATTTACAGGCTAAATTGGGGTGCAGGGAGGCACACATGGAGCACATGCCTCAGATCTCCCTCACATCAGAATCCATGTATCCTGTGACTAAGTGATGGCTGACTGGCTGGCTGGCTGTTGGGGGTGTATCTCTGTGAAAGCAGCAGTTTCAGTTCTTCCAGAGTAAAGAGCAAGAGCAAACACTGCATCTACTGCATTTTTCCTAAGGAAGAATTCTGACTTTCTGATCATCTCCTAGTATGATACATCGCCTTGACTTGGTTTCAGCTGCAATGGATTTATTTTTTCCTTCATAGTGCCTACCTTGATGCAGTGAGCAAAGGGCTGCGTGGTGTTAATCTGCTTGCTAGGTTAAACCACAGAGCTACTGAGTCCTTTTTTAACCCAGACTCTTTGTCCCTGCTTCACATTCTCCACTTGCTTTTTCATCTTGATTTGGTACGTTTCAGTTTCTGAGCTCCTGACAACATCCTCGCTTCTTCTTCTGCCCACAGAAGACCTGATGCTACCCCACGCAGGGGTGAATCTGTGGCCTCACATGCTTTTTTTGGTTTGTCTGACTTATAGGAGGAAGTGGGAGATAGCACTCTGCCCACATTTGTCTCCCTATGTCTATATAAAAAAGTATTAGCATGTAAGTGTGATATTTCCACTACTGATGTTTTTAAGGCCTATGTCAATAGCAGAAAGGTGGGGACTTGAAGGGACTCTGCCAACATGCCCACCCGAAGGCAGTGACGTGGAGGGACACTGTCAACATGCCCATTCATGTACACTGGGGTCATAAGCTGTGTTCTCCTCTATGCCACTCCAGAACTGCCTATCCTAGCCAGATCTGGTACGTAACCCTGTCTCTACTCAGGCAACTCCCCTCTTTAGGCTGAGAAAGAGGAATCTAGCAACAACATCTACAACTGCATCTTCTTAGCAAGGTGTGGAGAGAACACCGGCATTAGCAAATCCTGTTCTCAGCATGGAAATTAGCATCAAGTCCCACCCTGGTGTCACCTCCTACCTCACACCCTATGCACCCTGCTGTCACCTTCTACCTCACACCCTATGCAATGCTTCCGCTTCCTGCACCCACAGCCCTTGCATCTCCACCTTCTCCCTCCCACGGTCTCTAGACCTTTGGCAAGGCTAGAAAAAGCAGAAGTTGCACACGGCTTAGAGACAGCACCAGCTCTTCATCAGCTGGGTATCAACCTCAGCCTTCGCATCTGGACATCCAGCCCCATAAGGCCAGAAGGACCATACCCCTCTGCCAGGGTCTCAAATGGTTGAAATCATAAAGAGTTACTGTGCAAGGTGGCTTTGTGGTTATAAAGGAAAGAAAAAAAGAGTAGTTTGCAGTAAGATAGGCTCAGCCAAGAGGTGTTTCAGATTTACTTCAGTTACCAGCAGGGGACAGCAAGGCTTTATACATACAGCGAGCTTTTCCTGCTCTGATAAAAAATGTTCAGTCTCCTGATACCATTGGGCAAAGACTTCCAAGATGAAGGAGTTCTGAATGCTCCAAGTCACTCAGGACTGCAGGATAACAATGGCAAAGACCCAGAGCACAGATCCTAAGGCTCAATCTTGGATTAAAAACACAACTGATATCACCCAATTCCACTTTCCAAACTAAACAGAGAGAGATTTGAATTTTTAAATATGCATATTTAGTGCTATTATATATACTGAAATGAGATGTTACATGGCCTTAGTGCTATCTGAAAAGCATTTTTGGGTTACTGACAATTTAAAAAGATGTAAATTACCATGTAAAGTCTCCAAATACTGAAAAATAAATGGGACAATATGCAACTACCAGGGTATGCATGTGCTGCATATAATTAACCCAAAGCTTCTTTCTAAGGAAGTTTGTCTAATTAAAAAAGGAGAAAATTTTCAGTTCTTTACGTAGAAAAGTTCATTCTTTCTAAATAAGGAGCAGCTCATACCCCACTAAAGGAGAGTGGACACCAAACCCACAGACCGTAAGCCCCAAATCTCTTTATACTGTACGTATGTGTATATAAATATATGCATGTATCACTATATAAATATATATGCGTATTTTCTGCTTTCCAAATATGACTTCTTTTTGTGTTTGTATTGTCCACACAGGAAGTATTATTGTCCTCACATAGAAAGGCCACAAATCCCATCCCATGCCTGATTTTGATTTCTGTGTTTACAAAGACTGTTTCCAAATTTAATGGGTTTGTAAAAGAACTGAGACCGAGCTCCAGCAATCTGTCTTCTAGGAAAAGAATAAGGAAAATAACCTTTAATGTATTCATCAAGGAACAGATTTGCTAATGGAGACAAAACAAAAGCAAAACAACTTCAAATGATGATGAGACACTTCTTGGTGAAAACAGCTCCACTTGGAGACATGTCAGACATACTGAGAGTTCAAATCAAGACTGGATAACAAACAGAAGTGTTTTATATGCTCGTCATTCTAAAGCCTTTCTTTTGCAGCAGGTCAAACCAGGTTACTAAGCTCTCTTTTGCTTTTAAAACTCTCTGAATCTATTATGAAAATTTCTATTGCAATTATTTTTCAAACACTCTATAATCTCATCGTTTGAGATGTGTGATTTGAGGCCTAAAATTATGGTAGGATCCATTGTAAACCTTTTCAATCTCATGACTACTCATGTGGACTACAGCAGAACCCTTCATCGTTTTATTGTTATTCGTGATGCACACAAGATGGTATGGTTGTGCCAGATATCTCTTTTTCCACCAATAAATCCTTTTTAATGCAAGCTGAGTGCACTAACACTAATAAAATAATGTTCTCTAAAAGAGAAAACCCAGCACACCCCAGTTGTTGGACAGTTATTCTATGACACGCACCGGTTGCTATTAACAGCCAGAAACAGTCTTAAGCTTCTGGCAGCTGTATTGGTTCACTGTCAACAGCGTTTGCAAGAACTTGAAAATCAGACCAATGATGAATGTGCTTGATTAAGGAGCTCTCCCAGAGTTATGTTTTTCCAGATCCCATTGAAGTGAAGTCAGGGGGCTCACCAGCTACAGCTAAGTTTCATTACCCAGGCTTTATCTCATGATCTGAGGTGAGAAAATGAACTATGGATTTAATATAAAACTGTCAAGATGAACATGTCATGCTAGCTTAATATATAGGAGAAAGCACACACATAATTTTAAGGTTATGTACAAATAGAGGACAATGATGACTGTTTGAAATTTTCTTTAGGATTGCATGTAGTTGTGCCCAAAGCAAAAGCCGGTAAACTTAACTGGAATTTATAGACGTGAATAGGATTAAAACCCACACCAATTTAGTATTCTTTTTTTTCTTATTCATTTTTGTTGTCAGAGATAAGCACTAAATTGTATTTCTCCAAACTGACACATGCAACTGTTCAGGTAGGCAATGAATTACACCCTTCCATAGGTAGTACAGATTCTGCCTGTGGCAAACATCACACTAAGGGAGAAAAGACAGAATATCCAAAGACTTCATGACAAAGGAGAGAGAAGAAATTTCCTAAATTTCTCAATGGCATTGAGAAATTGGCTTTGAAATGGCATTGAGGATGGCATTGGCTTCAGACTCCAAGAACTAACACTGAAGTGCTTCTCTCTTCCTTGAAAATTTGGATTTTTATTGAGACTCAGAACTTACCTACCACCATAAAACCACACCTTTTACAGTCCTGAATGTATTCCCCAGAGGAAAGTAGATGGGAGGTTTGCCTCATTTTCTGATTGGAATATAATCCCCCTTATTCCTTGTTTCCCCCTTACTCTTCGCTTTCAAACTTTGCCTTTTTTTCCCATTAAATATTTTAATCTGAGCATTTCATTTATCCAAAACCCTTTAGCTTCACTGAAGTGTTTTTCTTTCTTCTTCTTCTTCTTTTTTTTTTTTTAAACAACAACAACTTTTAATCTGGCAAAATAAGTAAATACTTACTCCCCATTCTCTAAACATTATGTCTCACTGTCCAACTGTCACATGTGAATAATTTCATTTTAGAACTTTAAAAAGTTTGAATTACAATTCAAGAAGTTTTACACATTCTTATATGTACTATCTTTTGAGTTCATGAATCACCACTATATGGCTAGGTTTGGGCTTATAATGAATTCATTACCATAACGAATGCATTTTAAAGAATGACATTTAAATACCTTGGAAATGTTTCTTTCAGTAATAAGCTCTATAAAAGCCTTAGATCCAAATGCTTGAGTAACCGAGTTAAAAATCCATTTGGTCACATCTTTAACATAAGGTAGAGCATATTTTTCCCCAATTTAAGTGTACCTACATTTGTTAAAGTAGTTCAGGGAGTGCTATTTTCATAAAAACCTGAATAGCATCTACTGAAAACGCACAATCTATTTGCTTTAAGATCTAGCGCGAGCTACAACTGATCACACTAGAAGAATAGTGTGGGGATATTCTTTTTCTCTTTAGAAAATGACATGGGGTGTGATGATTGGAAAAAATATAGTTCCAAAATGTGTAATGAACTTCACTAAATAAGCTGCCTTTTTTTCATACCAGGCGACAGTGCGTAAGACCAGATTTGAGTCTGTCTGGCAAAAGCGTGTGGTTATGTGGGACGTATGTCTCAAACGCAGTTTTTCAGACTGCTTGTCCCCAATTTCCTTTTTCATGTTTGGTCTCCTGTGCAACGTGGTTCTGGGGGGGGGGAAGTCTTCTGCTTCCGTTTTAAAAGACTGACTAATCAGTTGGGAGTCGAGTTACTCATTTCAGTCACCATTTGTAATCTCATGGTGAGACGAGGAAAACGCTGTGTAGGCAGCAGACCTTCAAGACATGCGAGATATCCTGTTGTAATGAGGGGACACTGTAAGAGTATGAAAGAAGCATCGCCTCCCTGTGTTCAGCTTGTGAAGGAAACAGGAGAGTACAAGTACGGATGGCAGGAGATGTAGTCTTCTATATACACCTAAAGCCTGTAGAGGGAGAAAAAATAGCTTTCTGTTTCCAGTTAACTAAGTAGCAACAAAGCAAAAAAAGAAAACATTTTAAAAGGTCTCCTTGAGTAAACATTTGAATTTATCCATTGTTAATGGTGATGCAGAGAGTCTGTCTGAAGCTGCCAGAAGTCTGTGCTTTGATTACTCATCCTCAGAACAAACCACTTTCAACAAATCTAGTCAAACCCAGGCCAAGCTCCTTTGACAGCTTCATTGCACTCATCAGTTCACTTCAACTGTGCATCAGGTTGGACAAACAACCTTCAGAGTTCAGCTCTCCTCACCCAGGCTAGACATATCCAAACTGAACATTGGTCCCCTGAAAACGCCAAATATGCAGGTATCCTAAAAGTCTGAGAATAAAACTCAAAATTAGTCTTTGCTCATATGAAACTACACCACAGTTCCTTCCACGTTTTCTCCTTTCACTTTTTCTCCATTTATTCTTAGACCTAAGTTGTTTTACTACCTATAGCGTGTTTGCTAAATCCCAGATAAACCCACATTACCGACTTCTGTTCTTGCGACTTAGCTCACCAGTAGCCAAAACGGGTGTAAAAACTTGCAACTTTTTCATTCATTGATAAGAATCATGGTGAGTTCTCCCTTCCTTGCAACAATGCACAAGATCCAGGAATGTGACTCTGATTTATCATTTTGCCCTGACTGAAGGGGGTGTCTCCATGGCTGGTAGAAGAGATTCAATGCCTGCAAAAGGCAAAGCACAGCACTGGAGCACTCCAGTATCTAAAGCAAACAGAAACAGGTCAAGACCACTGATGTCAGTGGCACATAAAGACTCTAAGTTAGCAAAAAAAAACCAAACCAAACAAAACAAAAACAAATAAAATGCCTTTTTATGGTACTGATAATGCTGAAACTGAAAATTATTAAAGAACTTAAAAAAAAAAAAAAGTGAATAAAGTGACAACACACATTCACATCTTCCAACTGACAATTTAATTTTTTCCAGGACAAAACTTTGCTATTCCGTAAAACAATAGTGAAGTTGGCTTCAATAAAAGATACATTTTTTCTCTGCTGTATTACTTAAGAAAGTAATTTATTTTTGTGAATGGTCAAGAAAAGACTGCTTGAATGTTAAAGTAACAATCTCTTTGTATTCTGTTTGGCATATAGGAACCTTATTTGTAATCTCATTAAAGAGAACAGAAATAGGATGGAGCAGAAACAAGTACTTCCCTTGTTCAACTGATAGCAAGGAAGGTTGGATGTGCAATGCCTTTTGCTATCCACTCAAATGCCACCTGATCTTCTTCCATCACCTCAGAAGATCACAGGTCTCCCACAGGTCCTGTGTCATACTTGCCAGCACTGTCAAGACTTTCCAGATGCCCTATTGCATCTCAGATGGGAACAGATACCTGTGATGGCAATCAGAATGAACCCAGAAAGGTGAAGTTTTGCTCTAACTCACACAAGAAGTCCACAGCAGACCCAGAAATCAGACTAGACTCACTTAAGGGTCATCCAATAACCACAAGACCCCTAATATTTCTGGCACTGAAACATATTTAAACAGGTAACAACCTCTTGGTGGTGGAAAACAGCCCTCTTAATATACATTCTTCAACACCAAAAACTTGTGTGTTCTGTCTTCCAATCATTCTAACATGACTTCTTAGCTATTTTTAACTCTAACATTTAATTTACTTCCTTCTCTTGTTCTCTGTGTTGTACTGATCTCACTGCTGTAGCAGTAAACGTTGCTGAGGCATGAACAACATCCAGAATAAGATCCATAGAAGCTTTCAGCTGGCAGCTGATCTGTTTTCCTCTTTCAGGTCTCCACAAGACATATTTCCAGCCAATTGATGTTCCGTCAGCTGAATGGTTGCATCTGGTCAACTGATATGAGAGTGAGCTCAGCAGGTTTTGGAACACTAATGGTATCTTCTGCAGGTCAAAGGAGAAAAAAAAAAGCAGAAAACCCTTCGTGACAAAACGAAAACAAAAGCAGAAGCATAAAGAGGAATCAAATTTATGTGTTAGAGAGCACACTACCAGATTATAGAGGCTATTCCATACTAAAATGTGCCAGTTAGGACCGAAACCTGATTCTGTAATAGACAAGTGATGCCATTCAGCACTTCCACTCAAAACTAGAACTAAGCAAAGGTAGATATCATGCAGAGATACCTTGCAAAGGCTGGCAAGCACTTATCTGTAGACTCTATTAGTAGGCTCTTTGTATTTCATGTTAGCTTGTAATTTTAAAATAATTTCCAAACAATCAACAGAATTTTGTACTGTGCAAAGCATTCGGCAGGCTGTTTGAGAGCAGGATGCAATGTGAGAAGCTGTTGCAGTCACATGGACTTCAATGGGCCTCTCAAAGCCTAATTTGAAGCTACTTCTGGGTGTATAATCTATGACAAAACTCACAAGAATCTCTATCTTTATCTTTAGAAACTTGCTAAATTTCATAAACGTTACTAGGGAGAAGCAAATTTAGGGAGAAACTCAACTAAAAAGAAAATAAGTCTCCATTTTGCAGGTCCAAGGAGCCATCAAAATAGTATTATCTAGCAGTTCCTCTGGAGCAGCCGTGGTGGGACTGTACCAAATAGTTACATCAACATTTCTTCCAGATATCCACAAACTACTTTTTTTTGCACTGCAAATGTAGACTGGCATATTTTGAGACTTAAAATCAATATACACCAAAACTTAATTTCCAAACTTCTTTGCTATGGCTTCCTTAGTGGTTCACTTGATTTCTATTGATGAATTAGGGGAGAAAAAAATAAATATTTCTCTTTTCCCTTTATAAAACAGACATCTATATAAAACGTTGTCAGCAGCTAACCAGAATTCTTACTTAAGTGTGTGCATAGGACTGTGCCAGCTTTCTCACCAGCATTTGCATTACCAGCTAGGGGGTGTGGCAGGGATATCTGTAAAACTGGGACATCCCATCTCCAAGAGGAACTGTGTGTACATATCGGTGAAGCACACCCTTGGGAGGAGGAATGTGTGCTTTTAACATGAACATTCTAGTTGTTTGTAGAACTAAATAACGACAAGAGGATCTTCCCAGAATAAGAAACAGGAAGCACAAGTAGGAAATCAAAAGCATCAAGCAGGGCAGGGACCTGAGGACAAACCTTGCAAAAGGTATTTGGTAGGCTTGAAGTGAGAGACCATTGACTGAGATGAATCCTAGGCTACGAGCCAGAAAATTTGTCTCAACTTCAAATTCAATGAAAAAAAAATGGTCCCAGTTTATATGGATGAGTTTCCATAAAATATTTTGGTTATCATTAGAATTTTATAATAAAAAAAAAATCCTTACCTGCCTGCTAAGAATGATGAACAAGCTTCCTAACGCTACTCCAGCACTGCCACAGATTTCTCTGGGTCTGTGGCCCAATGACTTCCTTTTGTATGCTTGTGTACTAAGCATATCAGTGTTGGAATGAGCTCTTCGCAGTTGTTAATTTGTATTTATCATCCTACAGTCTCATAAAAGCTACGTAAGAGTTTCTCATTTGCCTGGACAAAATATTCATAACAAGCTGCTAATTCATCAGAAATCCCAAAAAGGTCATTGGGTTCATTCATGAGGAAGGAAGTACAGAAGGAGAACGTGAGTCAACAAGAAACCTCTATGTGTGTTCTCTCTACAGAGCAGATGATGGCTTTCCAAGTTTATCCCGAAGAATCATGGCCTCAGGTTAATCTCAGAAGTCAAGAATGCCGTCACTACCGTATCTTGTCGTCTGGCACAATGGTGATAAGGAGTCATTTATCTTTTGAAAAAAGCTGAAAAACATCGCATAGACAGCGGAAAACCACCTGTTCTGAAGTGGTTTCCTTTTGCCAGCCCCTGGGGATAGCAGGTGCAGATGCTCCGGTGGCCACAACTGCTTCAGGTGTTTCTGAGTGTTGAACACCATGGCTCAGACCACAAAACAAAAAGGAGAGAGACAGAGGCCTTACAGTTTTAGGATTAATCCTGGAACAAATAAGTTTATGCAGGTTGGGCTTTCTGCATCACTCCTAGAGCCGTTTGATAATAAGCAGATCTCACCAGCACCCTCATCTGCTGAGAGGTCTAAAACAATGAGTCATTTGTTATAAAACCTCACTGCACATATCCTTAGAATTCTTGGCACATCTTACATTTAGGACAGTACTGAACCTTTTGTTATTTTCACTGGAATGTGAACAGGAGAGATTTTTTTTGCGAAGATGAAGGCTCTACAGTCTAAACTCCACGATCACATTGAGAGAGAAAATGAACTTACACACTTTGTTCTTCCTCTCACTGAAGTCTACTGACCTGAAGAAGTACAAGATTTGCACCCTCATTTCACAGCACAGCTGCTAGTCACATAGAGATGTGTTCTCTCGCTCTATTCTATCTTTTCTTCTTCTTTCTTACCAGCTCCTTTTCTTGTTTCAGTCACCTGCTACTCACTACCTAACATCCAGAAACCTTCAGCACACTGTCATGTTCTTGAGGTTCTAAAGCAGTGATGACATGAGGTAAAGGCTAATCTGAAAGATCTCTTTAGCACTACTGTCAGAAGCGCTTCACAGAAAGAAGAGAATGAGAAGCAAGGGTTTACTATGGCTTCAAATTGCACCAGGGGAGGTTCAGATTACTATTAAGTAAAAATTATTCTCCAAAAGAGTGGTGGTACATTGGCACAGGCTGCTCAGGAGGTGATAGAGTCATCATCCCTGGAGGTGCTCAAGAGCTGAGGAGATGTGGCACTGAGGGATGTGGTCAGTGGGCACAGCGGAGCTGAGTTGGACTAGATGATCTTAGAGGTCTTTTCCAACCTTCATGATCCTCTCTCCCCTCTCATAAATATATATATTTATGTTATTTGCTTCCTTGTCTTAGCCTTAGCTCTCACTTGATTTCTTTAAAATGCAAGAAGCAACTACATCATTGAGTAAAGTCTTGTGGTTTGGCTTCGGAAACAAAAATCCCTATTGAGATTCTTACAGATTGTGAGTGCACTCCTTTATGAATGCAAGATAAAGCACAGAAGTTAAGCAAAAAGGAAACAGGTGCGAGTCTGCGCCAGTGAAAGCGAGAAAGTAAAATTCACAGAAATGATATTTGCAGAAATAGCAAAATATACTGAAAATTTGCCTGCTTCTGAACTGAGCCCATTAACAGGTATGACAGGTAAATAGCATCCTCATTCAGTAATGTCATAGCACACTTTGTAAACTCCATGTTCCACGTGTCATAATGCTTTGAAGTCTGTGATAGTCCCCCGGGGTTCTGAGATCATATTTTTCCTATTGTTTTGCTCTGACTGGAAACCACAGGGAGTCCTGGGCTCTGTCATCCTGCAGCTCCCTAATATTTGGAATGTTCCATAGCAACATACATTGAGATTAAGCCAGATAGCCAGATGACAAGTGAAAGTGGTGCTGGTTATTCAAGGAGTGCAAGAGGTATCAAAAAGGAAAAGGTTGGCTTACAAAACACAGGTGTTGCTGCAGTAGAAGGCAAAAGCAATTAAAAAAATAAAGAGAATAATACACAAACGATATTCTGGACTTCAAATGATGCAAGCAAGGGATATTCTGTTAAAGGCTGATTTGAAGGAAACGAGAGTACAGTAAGGATGTATTAAGCATTCTTCAATCCTCACCATAGCTTTCTGTTCAGTATATTCTGCTTAAACTATCCTCGATGGTCAAAGATAGGGATGTCATAGCAAGATGAGTCATAGAATATTCCACATTGGAACGGACCCATAAGGATCATCAA